GGGGGGAAGTGGTGGTGCTGGAATTGGAGACGCTGTCCCTGGCCACACAGTCCTCAGTCAGGTGAGGGAACCAGATTGGGGTGGGGGCAATTAGAGGGGGAGTGTAACAGCCAGCCCATTGGGGATGTTGCCCTGCTTGGGATGGGCTGTCCTCGGCCCTAGGCTCGGGGGGAGCCGTCACGGGGGGCAGGCTGTCTTCAGCCCTCGGCTAGAGGCGAGCCGTCATGGTCCTTAGGGTGAGCTCCTCAGTCCCCAGATTGTGCCATCTGTCCCCTGGGTAGGAAAAAAAAAATGCCTAGGGTATCCAGAGAATTTTATCTAGGCTACTTTCTGCCACCCTCTCCCCCAGTAAACTTGAAAGCACCACCCCCAAAACCCCTCTATTTGTAACTCACAAGTTTGTTCTCTCTAGGTTTACTCCCTTTCCTATAGATAACCTTACCACTGAGTTTTACTTCAGACCTGACCCCAAACCCAGTGCCAGTGACAAAAAGGAAATACAACTGACAGCTAAGGAAGCAAAGGAGGACGGAGCCTCTGGGTTCAACCAGCCATCCCCACTGGAACCACCTGGGAAAACACTTTGCAGTCCAGAGGGGAGCAAATGACAGGAAAATATTTTCTAACAGAACAAAAAGGCAAGCAGCCTTAACCCAAGATCTCCAGTAAGATGATAAAGTGTCCTCCCTTTCCCCCTTCACATCAAGGCCCCTGTTCAGCATGAAGAAGTCAGAGAGTCGGCATCCAGTTCCCAAATCAATAAGACAGTTGCTCTAAATACCATTGGAAAATGCTTGTCATTTTCCTATAGCATCTGGTCCTCACAGGATCCTTTTCATTTCCTTCACCTGCTCCCCCCACCAACCAATTTCTGCAGCTCTGCAACTGCATCCCTGCCCATCCTCACCCTTCTGCCTCAAACCCTCACCTCCTTGTACCCCCAAATGTTTTTTCCCAATAAAAAAAATTAAAAAAATATGAGGAATGTGTACTATTCAATAAAAAAAATCCACCTGAAAAAAACCAAACAAACAATGTATTGTGATGGGAAAATCTGCTACAAAAGACCTCTTTACAGTTGGACAATGACCAAGGAGGATAGAAGGAGAATTGATGCCTTTGAGCTGTGGTGCTGGAGAAGAGTACTGAGAGTACCATGGACTGCTAGGAAAACAAA